GCGCGCGACGACGCGCGCGTCTGCACTTCGTTTAATTTGTTGCAGAGGATTCTCGCGACGGCACACGCGCAAGGGCGTTCGACAGATTTCGACATGCGCGCGCGAAGCCCGTCTGGTAGCATTTTGTGAAATTCTTGAAAACATATGGTGTTCTTAATACTTCGCAAGAGCTCGCGCGTAAGCTTTTTTAGCAAATCTGTGCTGCGAAACCCTGTGTTTTTGTATGTTGTTGGGAAACTCGATTGCGAAATCCTTCCGACACCGAAGGTTTTTGGAGGATTTCGGCATGCGCGCGCGACGACGCGCACGTGCGCACTCCGTCGCATTTTTTGCAATGGAGTCGTGAACAAGTCTTATGTTAGAGCAAACGATGTCCCCGCGTATTGTTTTTTACCAGGGAACCTCAGGGGGGCCCATACCGGTCCCCTGGGATAATGTGTATATATATAGGATGGAGATATGGTCAACACCGTATATGATTTACATACCCGAAAAGGGGGGCGATAACGCCGGGGGAAGGGGGGGTAGAGTCTATTTAGAAAGGAAAATTAATTTCTGTTCGCAGTGAGTTGTCCACTCCACTGCTCGCGCAAGCATCTCACCCACCCACCCGCAACTTGGTTTTCAAAATCTCTTGGGACCGTGACGGTGGGTAACAAGTGGCACTTAGCAACGATTACGACGCCGACGAAGACAGCGACAACGACGACGACGACGCCGCCGACAACGACTACGACGACACCGACGACGTCTCCAACGACTACGACGACGCCGACGACGACGACGACAACGACGACGACACCGACGACGACGCCGCCACCGACGACGACGACGACGACGACGATGACAACGACGACGACGAATGACGGACGCGACGACGACGACCAACGACGACACCGACGACGACGACGACGACGTCAACGACGCCGACGACGACGACGACGACAACGACGACGACGGCGGCGACGACGCCGACGTCGACGTCGACGAAGACGACAACGACGCCGACGCCGACGACGACGACGAAGACGACGACGACGTCGCCAACGAAGACAACGAGGAAGGAGGGAGGACGACGACGGCGACAACGACAACAACGACGAGGGAGGAGGGAGGACGGCGACGACGCGAACGACGAAGAAGGAGGAAGGACGGCGACGCCGACGACGGCAACGACGAGGGAGGAGGGAAGACGACGACGAAATAGGAGGGACGACGACGAGACGCCGACGACGGACGACGACGACGACGACGAGGGAGGAGGAGGAAGGACGACCACGGCGACAACGACGACGGAAACGACCACGACGCCAAAGAGGACGACGACGACGAACACGAGGAAAGACAGAGGACGACGTAGGCGACGACGACGACGACGACGCGGGAGGAGGGAGGACGGCGACGACGACGACGACGACGCAAGAGCGCGCGCGCACGCTTTCGTTGAAAATCCATGTTGTGAAACCTTGTGTTTCGCAGGTTGTTGGGACACACGATTTTGAACTCCTTCTGAAACCGTGGGTTTTGAAGGATTTCGGCATACAGTCATCGGCCTGACCTAAGGAAAGATGAATAAGGACCGAAGCCCCTCTTTTCTCAAGGAATAACGCATAAGGAACGGTGAGCAACTAATACCGCATAAGGAATGAGAAACAACGCATGCAAGCCTGAGGAACGACCGAACTCCTTTTAAAAAGTAGGTGTTCCTTGTTCAAGCCGCTCACTGTACTCGCGCGACGACGCGCGCGTCTGCACTTCGTCCCCTTTTTCCCAGAGGATTCTCGCGACGGTACACGCGCAAGGGCGTTCGACAGATTTCGACACGCGCGCGCGCGAAGCCCGTTTGGTAGCACTTTGTGAAATTATTGGAGAAAACAACCATGGTTTCCTTAAGATTGTTTACCAAATCGAAGCCATGTGTTTGGGTATGTTTTGGGGGAAACTCGGTTGCGAAATCCTTCCGACACCGAAGGTTTTTGGAGGATTTCGGCATGCGCGCGTGAAGACGCGCGCGTGCGCACTTCGTCGCATTTGTTGCGAGGGATTCGTGAACAAGTCTTATGTTATAGCAAAAGATGTCCCCGCGTATTGTTTTTTTTTTTTTCACAAGGGAACCTCGAGGGGGCCGATACCGGCCCCTGTGGGACAATGTACATTCATATTTCGGATGGACATGTGGTCAGAATCGTATATCATTTACATACCCGAAAAGGGGGGGGATAACGCCGGGGGAGGGGGGGGTGGAGTCCATTTTCTTTTTATCAAGGAAAACCCAGTTGCCGAAGTTGAAATCGTGAGCTCCACTGCTCGGGCAATCATCCCACCCACCCACCCGCAACTTGGTTTGCAAAACCCATGCGGGGGCGATTGCGACGAATGCTGGGCGTTGGCTGGTGCATCTCTGCGGCCGCGCTGGCCCGCGCATGCTCGCGCGCGCAACGGCCATCTAGTTTGGCGCGACCGACGCGAACGCGGTGGCGCTGACCGCTCGGCACATCCCAGCGGGCACTTCAATACGAGTCGGCGGCTTGGGCGGGCGCGGTATCATGGCAACGTCGACGACGGTAGACACGATGCTGATAGTAGCGATGCTGGCGACGATGCTGACAGCGACGACGGGGCAGCCAGTGACGGCGCCGATGCTGATCACGCCGACGACGATGAAGGCGTCTTCGCGTTGGTGATGAAGGTTTTGGAAGGAAGTCGAAACGCGCGCGCGGCAGACGCGCGAGAGTGCCTCGCATGGTCCTATTTGACACTGATCGTGCCAGCCAAGCACGCGCGCAAGGGCGTTCGAACGATTTCGGCATGCGCGCGCGAGGCCCGTTTGGTAGCACGTTTATGAACATGTTGAACAACAAAAACGCATGGTTCCTTAAGACTTCGCAAGATCGCGCACGCTTTTGTTGAACATCCGTGTTGCGAAATCCACTGTTTTCTAAGTGTTTTGGACACTCGATTTTGAAATCTTTCCGACACCGAGAATTGTTGATGGATTCCAGCATGCGTTCGCAACGACGCGCGAATGTGCACCTCGTCCCTTCTCTTGCACAAGGAATCTTGAAAACTTATGATTTGTGATAAACGAATGTGCGCGCATAGTGCGTTTTGTAGGGATGATAGGGGGGTACCGATACCGGCCTGGCTGGGATGGTATGAACCCAGAAATAGGATGGACATGGGGTCAGAATCATACGTGTTTGGCTTCGATTCCCGGGGAGTCGATAAGGCCGGGGGGGAGGGTGGTAGAACCTATCTCTTAGGAGACTCTATAAATGGTGCAACTTCTATTTGGTGCAATATATGTTGTGTGCCATATATGTTGTGCCACCTATGCTGTGCAACATATGTGGTGCATCACAGGTGGTGCACCGTATATTGTGCAATCGATGTGGTGCAACCTAGATGGTGCAATAGATGGGTTGCAATGTATGTTGTGCAATCTATGCTGTGCAACCTATGTGGTGCAAAATATGTGTTGCCGTCTAGGTGGTGCAGTATAGGTTTGAAGGATATGCTGTGCGATAGATGTGATGCACAGTATCTTGATCCATATATGTGGTGCAGCCTAGGGGGTGCAATCTATGTGGTGCAATCGACGTTGTGCCATCTATATTAGGCACGATCTGTTGTGCAACACACCTGGTGCAAAGTATGTTGTGCACTCCATTTTACGCAATACGCGTGGTGCGAAATAGATGGCGCAACTTCTGTTGCGCAACATAGCCGCAAGACTGGCAGACGGGCCCAAACGACGGGCGGCGGCGAGACGGCGACGTGGCGGCGTCGGCGGCAACATAGCCGGCAGACTGGCAGACAGGCCCAGACGACGGGCGGCGACAGGGCGCCGACGGGGCGGCCACGGCGACAACATGGCCGCCAGACCGGCAGACAGGCCCAGTTCCGCAGAGGTTAGGAACCCCTAAGTGCAAGCACTGTTGGGCAAATACCAGAGGGAGTTTCCCGAACTCCTCTAGAAGGAATATCGCGTGTGAACGTGCGCGACGCGCGGTTGGCAGACAAAAAACTACGGCATACGTTGGACTGGGGCTGGTCGTTGTCCAAATCTGAACTCCGCGCCACAAGCCTGGGAGGCCGATGTGTCTTCTCTGATTGGCAGAGCCCCACCATCGAAAAGGCCCCAGAGTGATCTGGTGACTATGCTGCCCTGTGAGATGGAGGTGTTCCAAAATGACCGAACGGGTTTGAGGACCGGGGTCGATATCCGAGAATGTGTAGAGCGACCTCCTGAGACCCAAAACCGCTACACCCTGCGAAATGCTTAAGAAACCATGGGTTAAGAAATTCAGAGTCTCAGAACTGGAGCAAAAACCCAGCATTTCCATGCAAATCTTGGGATTTACATTTAGACAAGTTAAGAATAATCGAGACTCTGGCCGAAAACTTAGGTTTTCTTAAGCATCGCCCAGGGTGTACAGCAGAAGTGACGCGCGAGCGACCCCCGCCAGAGGCCAGGGAGCCCGCGGCAAGGCCAAAGTAACGCCTATACCGCACGTCTCGTTTTCTCTCGACGCCTCCGGAGGGCCCCAGGACACACAAATAAATACACACAAATAAACGATCCCCCATATTTTCCTATATTTTCTGGGTTTTTGTCTTCGCCCCCACTTCCCATATTTTCCCATATTTTCGGGGGAATCGACGATTAATTGTGTCTGTGTGTTTTTTCCCCTCCTGAGTGTTGTTTGCAGAGGGTGTGGTTTGCAACCGGCACCCTGCGGGGCACCCTTGGGGTGCAGGCGAGGATCTCGACTGAGCTCTCCGCCGCGCCCCGAGGAGACCCGACAAGGACAGCGTCGTGCTCCCCAGGCCCCAACGGTGCCGACCGCAAACCACACCCTAGCGCAACCATACCCTTTGTAGTCGCCGATCCCCACAAACCGTTCCTTGAGGTCTTCGGGATTTCACTCAGCAACAACTAACCCATCCGAATCATGACCAGAAGGGTTGCCCCCGTCCAGAGGCAGGAAGAAAGGCACCTGTCGTCGGGTTTTGCATCGTCCCTGGGAAGGTTCGTCCTGACGAGGGGCATGTTCTCGATCTCGCCATTGCCATCGTAGCCCTTCGGAGCCCCGCTGCCAGCGAAGGCCAGAACGGTGGGATGACTGAGGGCCGTGTTTCTTACTTGGGAATTGCCCACCCTTCGTTTGACCCCTCGTCTCCGTCCTCAGTCTCCCTGCGCACTGTCAACGGGTCTGCTTCACGTACTGCTCATCAGCCTTGTCATCATGGTACGTCCCGTCATCATGCCTCAAATGCACAGGCATTATTCGACTCACCCAACTTATCGTGCATGGTGCACACATCTAAGCAACTCGCATGTCGTTGCCCTCTCCCTGTCACAACACGCTCGGCAAACTCACTTCAAAAACCGGCGCCTGCTCCGCGAAAACTGACTGTCTTCTGTGAGAACTCATGCTATATCTCCACACAACTGCTGGCCTCCTTCACTTGTGCGTCGCACACAGACGTCAGTCGGAAAGCGGCATGCGGGCCGAGCGCGCAACTCTGTCCGCACAGAGAGCGCGAAGGTGACAGCCCCTGCTCCCGAGAGCAGACGAAGACGCGGCTCCGCTCTCGGCAGGCGCCCCGTCGGATGCGCACGCTGGCGATGCACAGGCGCAACAGTCTGGTATTTTGCAGAGCCTTGGATCCTCCTCCTCGATCCCCGATCCCCGATCCTCGATCCTCGATCCCCGATCCTCGATCCTCCTCCTCCTCCTCGCTCTTCGATCCTCCGTCTCCTCCTCGATTCTAGCTCCTCCCCCTCCTCCTCCTCGATGGTACTCGATCGTCCTCGCTCCTCTGTACTTAGATGGGGGGAACGGGTCCTGAGGGAAACGGATCTTGGACCCTGGTGCCTTCCCCCATGACGAATTGTTCAGCCCGACTCGTTTTCTTATAATCTCGGGACCCGTGGAGGGCCCCGAAGGCTCAAATCAATGAACAACTGCAGGGCCCGTCTCCCTCTTCCCACATGGCGACTTCCCCAGCTAGTCTCCTCCTCCTCCGAGGCCAGGGCTCGCGCGCGCCCGCCCAAAAAAAAACCGAGCAAGCAGCGCAAACGGCGGCGCCTCCGGAAGGGGCACACGTCGCCTACGCGGGCGCCGGCGCGAGACGAAGGGGGGGGGCCCTCCTGCTCCTCCACCTCCTCCTCCTCCTCCACCTCCTCCTCCTCCTCCTCCTCCTCCTCCTCCTCCCCCTCCCCCTCCCCCTCCTCCTCCCCTCCACCTCCTCCTCCCTTCACCTCCCCAAGCGACGTCCCGTGCCGCCGAACACCTCGGCGGCGCCTGCGCCAGGCGGCGAACCCGTCGCGCGCCAGGGGATCCCAGAAACCCAGCGGCGGCTCGAAGAGATCGGCGCGGCCTGGTGTCGCCGCTGCCGATGGTCCTCAGAACGCGTGGTAAGCGCCAACGTGTGCTTACCCACCAGAGGCCCTTCAATGCGACGCAGGCGGCGCAACGAGGGCCGACACAGGCTGCGCGCTATTGGCGGCGCCGAACGGGGTAACACACACGCCTGGACTAGCACACGTCGTGAGGGTCATCGACACTTCTCGGTTGTGCCGAAGAGGGAGGAGAGAACGAGGGGGGAAACTCATGGCCCGAAGCATGTGCGCGGGACGAGGGGGGGGGCAGGGATGCGGTGAAAGACGAAGAGGGGGCAATGACATCTGAGAGGTAACGTGGTCCCCGCCATGATATCCCCCCCCCCCCCGAAATCACACCCTGGCGATCGGCTGAAACAATTCTTATTCCCGGTAGACTGTGGCATTTCCCGGTAAACTGGATTCTTCAGCGGCCAGACAATGCTTCCTGAGAGATTCTGCAAGGTTCCGAAAGATTCTGATAACATCTGGAAGATGCTGAGAGATTCTAAAAGAGTTTGAAAGATTCTGAAAGATGTGGAGAGATTCTGAAAGATTCTGGCAGGTTCTTAAGAGGTCCTCAGAGGTTCTGAAGGATTCTGACAGATCCTGACATATTCTGAAACATCCTGGAGGATTTTGAAAGATTCTCAGAAGTTCTGGAAAATTCTGGGATGTTCTGAAAGATTTTGAAACATTCTGAAAAATTCTGAAATATCCTGACTGAAAGATTCAGAGAGATTCTGACAGATCCTAAGAGATTATGAACGATTCTGAGAGATTCTGAAAGAGTCTGAGAGATTCTGACAGATTCTAAAAGATTCTGACAAATTCTGAGAGATTCTGAAAGATTCTGAAAGATTCTGAAAGCTCCTGAAAGATTCTGAAAGATACTGAGAGATCCTGAAAGATTCCGAGAAAATCTCTGAGGTTTGCTCGTCGCTCCCCCAAACAACCCTCAATCCCAGCCAGAGACGATACACACCCGAGGAGCCGTGAGTACGGAAGCGTGGCCCCCCTTCTTTTATTGTTTCATTTTGCGGTTTTGCCCCCGGTTCAGTTCCATCCACGATTCCCCGGGATCGAAACACGCCTGCTGGGGCCAGAACCCAGAACAAGCCTCCAGGGGCCAAATGATGAAACGGGCTTCCAGGGGCCAGTGGGAGGGGGCAGGGGAAGGAGAAGCAGGGGGAGGAGGAGGAGGACGAGGTGGATGCCGGGGAGCAGCCGGAGGAGGAGGAGGAGGAGGAGGAGGAGGATTAGGAAGGGGCAGTTATGCACTCAAGCTTGTACTGCTGCGGTTACTACTACTGGATTCCCACCGGGTTACTTGTACTACTGGGCTACATCTACTACTTGTACCCAAACTTGTACGGCTGCTACTATGAATACCATTACTACCACTACGACTACTACTACTGCTGCTACTACGACTACGACAACGACGACGACTACGACTACGACGACTACTACAACTACAGCAACTACTACTACTACTACTACTACTACTACTACTACTACTACTACTACTACTACTACTACTACTATTACGACGATTATTACTACTACGACTACGACTACCACTGCTACTACTACTCCTGGTACTACTACTACTACTACTACTACTACTACTACTACTACTACTACTACTACTACTACTACTACTGCTACTACTACCATTCCTACTACTTCTACTACTACGACTGGTACAACAACAACAACGACAACTCCTACTACTACTACTACTACTACTATACTTACTACTACTGCTACTACTACTACTACACTACTACTACTCTACTACTACTACTACTACGATTACTACTACTACTATACTACTACTACTTACTTCTACTACACGACTATACTACTACAACACTACTACGAACTACTACTACTATACACTACTCACTCTTATTGATAATACGCGTACTACTACGACTTTACTACTTACTACTACTAAGCCTACGAATAGACTAACACACTACTACTACTACTACTATTACTACTACTGCTACAACTTCTACTACTATTTACTACTACTACTACTACTACTACTACTACACTAGTAGTAGAAGTAGTAGTACTATACTTACTTACTACTACTACACTACTACACCCTTACACCTATGCCATGATACTTACCGCTACAACTACCAGACTACTACTACTACTTCTACTTCTACTACTACTACTACTACTTCTAATACTACTACTACTACTACTACTACTACTACTACTACTACTACTACTACTACTACTACTACTACTACTATACTACTACTACTACTACGACTACGACTACGACTACGACTACTACTACTACTACTACTACTACTACTACTACTACTACTACTACTACTGCTACTACTACTACTACTACTACTACTACTACTACTACTACTACTACTACGACTACTACTACTACTACTACTACTACTACTACTACTACTACTACGACTACTACTACTACTACGACTACTACTACTACCACTACTACTACTATACGACTAGTACTACGACTACCACTGTACCAGACTACTAGTATTATTCTACTACTACTACTACTTACTACTACTACTACTACTACGTACTAGACTACGACTACCACTGCGACTACGACTACTCTTACAGCTAGTACTACTACTGCTACTATACTACTACTACAGCTAGTACTAGTACCAGTACCAGTACTAGTATTAGTACTAGTATTATACTACTACTACTACTACTACTACTACTACCAGTACTATTCATACCACTACTACTACTACTACTACTACTACTACTACTACTACTACTATTACTACTTCTACTACTACTACTACTACTACTACTACTACTACTACTACTACTACCATGTAACGCCCCTCGCGGGGGTAGAAACCAATTGGACCAAGTGTATTTGCTGGGGCGTCACGCTGTCACCCTGCTCAACCTTTCCTCATCATGCTCGTCCTCCTCCTCATCCTTCTCCTCGTCCTCCTCCTTCTTTTCCTTGTCCTCCTCCTCCTCCTCCTCCTCCACGTCCTCCTCCTCCTCCGCCTCCCCTGCCCTACCTCGAGCGTGATGGACCATGGGACCTCATGGAGCCTCCTGGTAATCCCGGGGGCCTCCTGGGATAGCAACCTCTGGAGACTTCCTGCGGCCTCTTGAAACCTCCTGGGTTCTCCTAGGGTATCCTCAGCCCTCCAGGGGCGTCCGCAACGTTCTGGAACTTTTGGGTCGTTCAAGATACGCCCGGAGCGTGATGGAACCTCCTGGGGCCTTGTGGGACATGCTGGGACCTCCTGGAGCGTCCTGGAGCCTCCTTAGGATTGCCACGGCCTCCGGGGACGTCCTGAAGCCTCCTGGAGCTTCCTGATGCCTCCTGAGACCTCCTGGGGCCTCTTGGCGGCTCTCTAAGAAGCCACGCGCGGGGCCTCAAAATTGGCGACAGTTTCAAGGATGCGAGCCTTCCCATTGAGACAGAGGGCGCGGTGGACGTTCAATAATGACGACAGTTACACACTTGAGGCCCCAAAACCGTGCCGGGCCCCCCCCCCCCGCCATTCCCGGTCCTGCATAGTCCGGTGCGATTTGCCCCCTCCCCGCTGTCCCGCCTGTCCCCGGGAGGGCTAGTTTTCTTGTTCTCACTGATAAGAAACACTTCCCCCCCCGTCTCGGCGGTGACGGAGGGCAGGCGGCGGGGGAGAGCGGGTTGGCAGGGTGGCTGGTTGGGCACGGAGAGCAGCCGGA